GGCGTGCAGAAGGCAGCTGACAGATACGATGCTCTCACATCGATGTTTCTCCCTTCTCCCTTCCCCTCTCTAAAGAAATCAATAAACTATTCTATAACAAAAATGATTTAGCATTAGATAATCTATTATCGAATTAAAGAAAAATGGTATGATTATTTTATAGGCAGAAAAGTGTCACTCAACAAAATTCAGAGTTCATACATGATAAAAATGAGCACACTAGCAACAGAATGGAAATTCCTGAACCTGAAAAGGGTAATCTAAAAATTCTAAAGGAAACAGTAAACTTAATGTGAAAAATTAGATGAATAGAGCAAGGATACCAGTTATCATCAACTTTGTTGTAAATTATACTATATATGGGTTTTTGCTATCACTGCAAAACAAGACATAGAAATGGTATAGAGATGGGAAAGGAAGAAATGAAATTTTCATTATATGCCAATGATAGGACTGTTCACAGGGGAAATTCAAGTGAATTTCAATTATAACTAGTAAATAAGAGAATCCATGTAGTTCTGAATACATTAGCAATATAAAAAAATCAATTGAGTCTTGATATAGTGGGAAAAATAATTATAATATGAATTTTTAAAAGAGGTACCACTTATAATATTTACAGAACTATAAAATATTAAGAAATGAATAAAAAAGATATGCAAAATCTTTATGGGATGAATTATAAAACTTCATAGAAAGGTATAAAATAATGCCTAAGTAAGAGAAAACCTGTACTATTTTCATGGATGAAAAGACTCAATATTATAAAGATGGCCTCTAAATTTATCTATAAATTTAATGCAAACATAACCAAAATTCCAGAAACGTGTTTTGTAAACTTGAGAGCTAATCCCAAAATTCAAGTGCAACAGTAAAGGGTCAAGAATAGCTAATGTAATTTTCAAAAACAAGGGAGGGGGACTTACGTTTCAGATATCAAGATTTTTTAATTATTTATTTATTTAATTAATTATTTTATTTTTCTTTTAAAATATGTCTTTATTGATTTCAGAGAGAGGAAGGGAGAGGGAGAGAGATAGAAACATCAATGATGAGAGAGTCATTGATTGGCTGCCTCCTGCATGCTCCTGACTGGGGATGAAGCCCACAACCCGGGCATGTGCCCTGACTGGGAATCGAACCCCGATCGCCTGGATCCTAGGTTGACGCTCAACTGCTGAGCCACGCCCAGCCAGGCTCAGATATCAAGAATTATTATAATGTCATAATTAAGAAAATGTGATATTGTGCAAGTATAGTCACATAGACCAATAGAAGAGAAGAGAGATCCCAGACACAAACCCATGCATATTTGTGACTTTGATCAGTGGAAGGGATGGTATTGCAAATTACTGGAGAAAGAGTCACTTAATGGTACTGGAAATTTTCACCAGCACATAGAAAAAGATAAATTAGATCGCAACATACATGACAAGCTTTAGGTCAACTGAATATCTCCATGTGAAAAGCAAAACTTTAAAACTTATCAAAGAAAATTCAGGGGAATATCTTCATGACCTTGAGGATAGTAAAGGACTTCTTATAAAAAAACCCAAAACATAAACTGTCCAGAAAAAATATTGGTAAATTTGATGAAGTTAACATAAGTGCTCTGTGTTATAAGACATCATTATCAAAGTGGAAAGACAAGCCCCAAACTGTGAGTAGACTGTTGCAACATATACAAACAACACAAACTACAAATTAATAAGGAAAAACACAACAGTCCCATAAAAAAATTGGCAAAGGACATATTTCCAGAAGAGGACACCCAAATGGCTAATAAACACTTGAAAAGGCACTGGACCGCCCATGAAATTAAAAGAAAACCACTCTGACCCATTTTAGTCTCACCAGATGGCAAAAATTGAAGTCTGACAATTCCAAATATGGATAAAGACATGGAAAAAGTGGAACTGCTTTAGAGACAATTTTCAGAAGATGTGTAAACCCTACGACCCGGCTGGCTGCTTTTATTATATACCCTGTCACACGTGAGCACTGGGGCACATGCACAAGACCGGTCACAGCAGCAACATGTGAGGTCCACATGAACATCTGACAGCAGGAGAATTGAAAAATACAAGCGAACCACATGGCAGTTCAAATGCACCAAGGAGCTATTTGATTTCTGTGCCTGTATCTCAAAATAAGCAAATTGTCAAATCTCATGGGCAGTATGATAGTGTTTGTATGAAATTTAAAAACAGGCAAATACAACAGTGTATCTTGTTTATGGATCGGTACATAAGTAGTAATACCATAAATTTTACTATAATAGTATAAATTTTACTATAACAGTATACATTTTGCCAAATTCCAGGAGGTGTTCCCTGTGGGGAGGGGACAGGGAGATGAGACTGGGGCGGGGCCCACGTGCTAGCTATCGATCTCTTTCTAGGAGAAAGGCCACACACATAGGTGGGTTTGTTTTGATGTCCTTGAGCAGAGGAGTCATGCTTACTTTGGCCTGGCATGTCAGGAATTCTGGAATTTGCTCTGGGACTTGGTGTGCCTTGTGCAAGCGGGGGTGGGAGCCTGGCTGTAGACCTTGGGGTGCCTCCTCCACATGGGTAAGTGCTGGACCCTGGTCAGGGATGTCCGCCTCCTGACTTGCTGGAATCTGTGACTATCATGATCCTCAGTTACCCTGAAGGACTGGAATGGGGGGTGACTTGTCTGAACTCTAGTTCTGAGATTAGAACCTGTTCCATAGTGACACTGGGGACCTGGTTGCCTTTCAGGGAGCCAGAGGGCCAGGGGAAAAAGAGCACGTTTGGTTTTTTATTTATTCCTTCTGCCTAAGTTCTCAGAGCACAGCACCACCCCACTTTTGGACGTCTGTACACTGTGTTTGAGGAAGGGTTTTGAGCCCCTGTCAATAGAGGCAGAAGCTGAGGGAGCTGTGAGGGAACCTGTCAGGATCTCTGTTGTGAAGTGGAAGCTTCTGGAAACCTGAATGGCTTCCAGCTCAGCTGATTAGGTTTCCTATGTTGTGGTAGGTGGAGGTGGTCAAATGTTGGATATGTTCCTGTGGGAGACTGGCCAAGCCAAGCCTCTTCCTGTCCCTCTCTTCTATCATCTACCTCCATGAGGGCTGAATCCTATGGGTGGAGACTCCAGGGGGGCTCTGATGGCAGGTCCTGGTAAACCCCAAGTATCATTCTCTTTTTTTTTCATTTAAAAATAAGCCCTGGCCTCACCTGGCATCACCAGGGGGGGACTCCTTTCTTGGATACTTTTTTTGGTAAACTTCGGCCAGGGGCAAGGTGCTGACAGGCACACAGGTGGACTGTCTGAGTCCACTGCCCTACCTGGCATAGAAAAGTGTCTCCACTGAGGACCCAACCAAAGGACACTGAGCTTGAGACTGAGGCTTAGATAAAGGCAGGAACTTCTGCAGGTGAGTATCCTCAGCCAGATGCTGCTGGTCCCACTCCCCCCTCCCCCCCACCAGCTTGGCTGAGGTGAGGCCCAGCATAACCTGGCCAACACTGGGAAACCCTTGGGTCTACCTGGCTGGGTATTTGATGGGAGGAATGGAGGAAGTTAAGAGAGGACATCTCATCAGCCTGGAGAGTTGGGAGAAGCTTTAGAAATTCTTGCTTGCTCTGCAGGAATTGGAGGCACTCATTTGGTTCCAAGCCACCTTGACCTCTATGGAGCTATCTGGAACCAATCTGCACCCCCTTTCAGATCTCTGGACTCAAAGCAGACAACTTGACCCCCATTGTAGGCAGGTAAAGTTCTCCAGAGGCCCCTTTGGTTTAAATCACTGCTCCTTTAAGACAATCCTTATGCCCCAGTTGAGAAGCCTCTGGGAGTAGGGAGGTCTCCAGGAAGCTGCTGGACCAGCTTGGCCCCTTTGGCTTGGTGCTTAAACCAAGATGTACCCCAGTTCCTGTCCCCAGCCCAGCATCAGCTCTTGACAATAAATGCCTGCCACCTCTTGCCCTAGCACCCACCCAGCCCCGACTCATTCCCTCTCCTGTCTTTAGCTCAGACTTTCCCCTTGACTGTGACACCTCCAATGTGGCCCCTGCCCCAGGCTGCTCCCTCTTCACCCCCAGTCCTACCTGAGGTTCATGTCCCCCTTCATGGCCAGACTGAAGATATTGGACAGGTTCCCCCCAGGTGAGCAGCCGCAGATCAGGATGGCAAGCGCCTCAATGTTGTTCAATCGAAAGATCTTGCCCAGGGCAAAGGCGGTGAGGGGCATTATGCCATACTGAGCCACCAGGGCGATGGCCATCCCCTTAGGCTTCCAGAAGTGCTCCTTGATCTTGCTGAACTCCATGGTGCAGCCCAGCGAGAGCATCATGATGAGGAGCATGAACACCAGGGTGATGCTCAGGGCCAGGTCGGTGGGGCGCTTGCCGAAGTTGGGGGGCAGGGAGAAGTTGAGCGGGACAGACACGTTGAGAGCCTCCATCCTTCTGCAGGGCAGCAGAAGGGCAGAGAGACCAGCACACCCTGGCTCCCGCTGCTGCTCAGTCCTTGCCTAGCACCTTCTTCAGTCACCTTCCAGGACAGAGTTTCAGGACAAATGGAGCTGGAGCAGGTCTGACTGGGCCAACACTGGCAGGCTGTCTGGGCCAGAATGCAAATAGAAGGATTATGCAACTGGCTGTGGCCCCAAAGAGGAGAGAGCCCACAGAGCCTTATCTGCCCAGCCTGCACTGTCTCTCCCGGATTCATTGATCTTTCTGGGTGCCACTCACACTCCTTTACCACTTGGCTGCTTCTGGGAAAATGGGACTGATTTCTCTCCTTTGCCTCCCACTGAGCGCTCCCAGGCATTCTGTCCCTGGGGCCCAGCCCAGGGCCTGCACCAGTCCCAGTCCAGTCCTTCTCGTCCTCTGCTCAGTCTTTGATGCCTTAGGAGGGTGCCTTCCCCATGCCCAGCAGGTCACTTCTGTTTGCCCCAAACCCTTGGGTGTGAAAAGAATCAAGTGTTACCTTTCCTTCCTGGATATAGGTAGGACAGGACATGGGACAGGGTAGGGGCAGGGTAGGGGCCTCTAGGAAGGGATGTGTTCACGACTCTTCCCAGGAGGTGAGGTGCCTGTGTCCTTCTCGCCTGTGCTGGGGAAACCCTTGTCCTATCTCCAAACCTGGGTGGTCTGAGGGGAGGAATATGCTCACCTCTAGAGGGAAGAGCCTGCAGGGGTGGCTGAAGGGCTCTGAGGAAGGGCAGCTCTGAGGGCGCCCTGGCTGTGGAGGTTCGTGTCCAGACTCCCTGGCCAGCAGCCGGGGGAGCCCCATAGTTGGGGAATTTTCTGAGTAAGAAGCAGGAAGCAGGACTACACCGGCTTTTCTTTCCAATTTCCTGACAATTTTACTTTTGTTCTGTGCCTGTGTGTCTGTGGCTGGAAGCTGGGCTCTGGGCAAGCAGCAGCGTTAGAGAGAGAGAGAGGAGGAGACAGGCGTGCCTGGGCAGGCTCACTGTGTGTGGCCCTACTGAGCCTCCCTCCTCTCATCCCAGGGGCAGGGTAGTACATTCAGAGGGGACAAGGGACCAGTCTTCAGAAACACACTTGTCTCTTGGCTGGGCTGGAACTACCAGGCCTGGGTGAAGTATCATAGTTTAATATTGGCTGAAACAGGAGATCAGGCTTTTTGTGGGGGACTCCAGAGGGCAGGATAGCGACCAGGATGTGAACCGCTGTGGGAAAGAGATGGGGACAGATTCCGGTTTGGTGTGAGGATATGCATACAAATGAGTGCACTACAACAACACCTGCAGGGCTTTTGGAATCTGCATATATAAGGGTGAGTGACAGGATCCTCCACCTGCAGCTACACAAAGAATCCGGTGGATGAGCAATAATATAGAAAGCAGCCTGTGTTGGGCTGATGGGAGGCTGGGAGCTGGAAGGCTACCCTGGCCCACTCTGCAGGAGCCTCATGCAAGTAACTAGTCCATTTGGTAATGAGTAGTACACAGCATCAAGTTAAATCCACTATAAACTATAAGAGGAAAGAGTAGCAAAAGTTTCCAGCAACTGAAGAATATTCACCAGGAAAACAGTGCCACAGAGCAGATAAAAACTGTCCAAACATTATACCACTGAATTAAAAAAAACCTGAACACAATAATTGCTTCCATGAAGGAGGACCGCCAAATAGAAATACAAGAACACAAATAATTATTTTTTAAATCACCGTTTTTGAACGCCTAAATGTAATAGTTGATTCAGCTAAGGATCATCAATAGATGCTAAAACCTTCGGGTAGAAAGTAATTGAGGAATGGGATATTCCTCAATAGTGGGACAACCTGAAATCACATGCCTCCTGATGGAATGCATTATGAAATGCACGGTATAAATAGTCAAAAATGTTTACTCTGAATCTCATCAAGCCTTTAGACCTAACAGACAGTTTATTAGAAGTACAAGTGAAAAACAAATGAAATATAAAGAACTAACCAGACAAATCTAGAATATGGGACATTTTACAAAGTAACTGGCATATCCTCTTTTTTTTTTTAAAGGAGTGTATTTTATTTTAATTAATTAATTTTTTTTAAAAATTGATTTCAGCGAGAGGAAGGGAGAGGGAGAGATAGGAACATCAATGATGAGAGTCATTGATCAGCTGCCTCCTGCACGCCCCCTGCCCCCTACTGGGGATCAAGCCCGCAAATGCAGCCTGGGCATGAGCCCTGATTGGGAATAGAACCACGATCTCCTAGATCATGGGTCGATGCACATCCGCTGGCCAGGTGGCATATCCTCTTAAACAAGAACACGTTGTAACAAAAGTAGGGCGTCTATTCTACATTTAAAGAATAAAGAGACATAACCAAATGTGATGTATGGTTGGATACTGGATTGAAAAGATATTTAAAAATATGTTGAGGAGTAATTGGGGAAATCTGATTGTGGGCTGTATATTACATGACATTATGAAATGATTAAATTAGTATTGTGGTTATTTAGGACAATGTTCTCATTTTGGGAGATGCAGGCTAATGTCCTCATGGATAAAGTGTCATGATGTCTGCAATTTATTTTAAAATGGTTTGGAAAAATGTGTTTGTGTATTATGTGTGTCTAGAGAGGGGGAAAAGCAGATATGGCACCATGATAACACTTGTTGAAACTATGTGAAGGATCTATGGATACTCATTGCATTATCCTCCCAGTATGTTGGTCAGTCTGTAATTTTTCAAAATAAAAAGTTGATGTGAAAAAGGACACAGGGAAGAGATGGCGAGATAATGGGAGCAGATGGAGCATGGCTGGCAGAACTCAGAAGAACACAGTATCAGAGTGCTAAAGTTGAAGTGGAAAGACTACAAACAAAGAACAATTAAGAAAACCATAGCAAGGGACATGAAAAAGACAAATAAGGAAACCAAGCAAAATGGGATGGCAATGAAGAGTTAAAAAAAGAGCAGAGAGGAAAAGCGAGATTTAGAATGCATGGAACGAAGATTCAGTAGGTACATAATTGGAGCCTCCAAAGATGAAAACCAAAACGATGGAACAGATCAAATACAAATATGATTTTCTGAAATAAAGACTTTAATTTATACCATGTATCAGAAAAAATTAATCCAGAAGAGTCAAGTGAGAGACATATATTAGTAAAGTTTTTAGATTTCAAAGATGATCAATCAAGCAAAGTGATCAAGTCACTTATAGGGGACAAAAATCAGGCTTCTCTACAGCATTCAATGCAGAAGCTGGTGGTGCAATACTTAAATGATATTCCAGGGGGAAAAAAAAAAGTGTTACCCAAGAATTTTATATCTAGCTAACTTACCATTAAACTGTAAAGATGATTGATAGTCTTGAACATGAAAGAATTGAGAGAACATTGATTCTTTCCTTTCTTGGGGAAACTACCAGAAGATGAATATCAGCCAACTAAGACATAATTGGGAAATTATGGAAAAAGTATTGATGGAAAGGTTTGAATACATTACTGTGAACTAGAGCTAAAATAGAGTGACTGAGAAGGATGTGAAAATTGTGTGACCTGGCAATATATAAACAATGTAATTAACAAATATTGGTAGAGGAAGGAGGAAAGTAGGTGAGGTAACGTTTACTGATTACTCCATCTGTAATAACTGGGAGTGAAAAACAAACCACCATCCCTCAATAAGCCAAGGGATATAATAAACACCTTTAGAATACAAGGACTAACTCTGAGAAAGACAGTATTGATTAAAGTAGGGTAGAAGAGGAGAGGAAGGGAAGAAGAGGAAATGTGCTTACTTTTTTATTGTTCATAGTAAGGAACTAACAGACATTTGTTAAATAATAAAAAACTCGAGGTATTAGTTAAAGCTTTCATTATAAAAGAGCAAAAATATAAATCTTTTGAAATTTGAGAATTGCAGCAACAAAGACAACAGACTACACTGTGAAAGCTTTTAAAAAATGATTAAAGCAGAAGGTAATATAATATTAATATGATAGAACTAAGGCTAACATGACATATCAATAAACATTGAAATACATTTAACTCATATATTAAAAGAAATAAGATATCCAGTCTCTTTGCAGGTTTATACTCTAGTCAAGCAAATGATCCACCTAAGAAACCCATCTTTATACTGTAATAAAGCAAATGATCTACCTAAGAAAAAGCATTTTCCAAAAGGCCAAAAATAAAAGTATGTAAAAAGGTATATGAAACAAATGCAAAGAAGAGAAAGCACAGATCATCTTAATATCGCATATGGTGAAAACGAAGAAAAGCACTTTATAAGGCTCAAAGATGCAAGTCACAGTGAGAAAGAAAATCTATGTACCAAATAAGAAAGCATGATACTCATAAAGCTAAAGTTGCAGGGGACTCAGGGGAAAAACAGAGAAGCAAATAAATAGTAGGACACTTTAACTTACCTCTTTCAATCAGCTATATAGGTCATCTGGAAAAAATAAAATGGATATAGAAGACCAAAATATCAGAGAAGCAAATACAGGTTTACAATTTCTTATTGAAAACTTTCCATAACTTTTCAGAGTTTGGAAAGGTGATCCAGTACATGCACTGTATATTATCTAACATTTCCGTTGAGGCCTGGGACAGTACTGTAGTCAAAGACAAAAAGTTCTGTGGTTCCCCCAAGACCTCCCCTAAACTCCCAGCCAAGATAAAGGACCTAGAGCACTTTCCCTCTCAGTTCCCTTCCCCTACTTCTTTCCTAGGTGTGTTACCTTTGTCTTTCCCTCTCCTAATCTTCAAGGGTCCTTCTTTTGCTTCTGTAACTTGTTTCAGAAGCCCAGCTGGCTCACTTCTACTACCTTTTGTAATTTGAGTTCTTGGCTCTAAATTCTTTCTTTGCTGAACTCAAGAACAAAGGTCCATTTTTGCCACCAACACTGCTGGTAACACCCCAGCTCATTCTCAGTCTCTGGGCTTCAGTGATTGGCCCCATCTCCATTCTGCAGAATATTCCATCAGGATTCCAAGATGGTGGTAAATT